TAGCGAATGCTGCGGGTCGAAAAGGTTTGGCCTGCCGCCTGGAGGTGAGAAAAGAACTTCCTGGTGGACACGACAGATACAACAAGCAATTAATGAGAAGACGGATGTCTTCAAGCATTGGCTCGGAAGCAAGGTGTCATTAACATGAACGCAGTACGAAAAAGTGTGCAAGTGGCACCGAAAGCTGATTCTTGGGAGAAGTTTAGTGAGGCGCTGGAGTCGAATTTTCAGACGGCAAATAAGGTATTCTGGCAGACCATCAACCGCATCCGAGGTGAAAACAAGAGTAGTCTAAATATTCTGAACGACAAGACTGGACAACCTCTCATCAAGGATGATGACATTCTTCAGCGACGGACAAAGTACTTTGAGGAACTCCTTAACGCCGAGTAACTGCAGGAAGACTGGTCTGAAGAGCAGCACGAAGCGGATATTAGAATCTCTGCAAATGAAATCACAGAAGCTGTGAAAATGCTGCTGGAATCGGTGAAATCAACCACGAAATGTTTAAAGCATTAGGCGAACAGGGCATGTGCTGGCTTAAACGTGCCTGTCAAACTGCAGTCAAACGGCAATGGGAAAGCCACCAACGTGCCAGAAAAATGGGGCTTGTAGTACCCTGTTCAAGCAGGGAGACTACATGGAGAGTTTCAATTATAGGACATTACTTTACTGAGCCTCCCTGATAAGGTCTACGCAAAGGTGCTAGGAAGGAGGTGCTGCGGAATAACTGACTCTGAGATACAAGAGCGGCATGGCTTTGGGATGGTCTGGAAAAAGCACATCTAACCAGATTTACGCCTTACGCTAGATTGTTGAGAAATAGTGGAAGTTCGCTCTCCGGTTTACATGCGCCTTGTGGAACTGGAGAGGGCACTTGAGCGGACCAAGCGCCACCAGACATGGGCGCGCCTGCAATCATATGGGATCGATGGAGAGTTGCAACGAGCCATCCAGTCACTATGTGTTGACAGCAGCTGCTGTGCCAGGGTAACTAGGGTCATTTCTCTTAGTGACGGTATCGATAACTAGCAGTACGTTAGTAAACCCATAAGATCGGGTTCATTTTTACATATAAATAAGCCTGCGGATAGTTGCATATCTGCAGGTGTCCGAACAGGCCCTTGTTCGGCCCTGATTAGTAATGCGGTTCTGCATCCATGCACTGCAAGTACTCAAATACCATACA